TGGCACCCGTAGGTCCCCCCTTGGCTCCGTCCTTGATATGATGGATGTGACCTAAACTTTTCAATTCATTAATTTGGTGCTTATGTATTGATCTGATGGATGTGACCTAAATTTTTCAATTCATGGATAATGCATGGGTCGTTAAAAACATTTTCCCGCTGTAGTTTGCCACAAACATGTAGTCTGGTAATTTGAAGTGTTTGCTATTGACTATTGAGCTTATTAAAGCACAGGAAAATAATGAATTTCATTTCATTTTATTTATTTATTTATTTGAGAAAGACACACTGAATTTCATTCTAGATGAAAAGTGGAATTCAGTAAAAACGAGTTGAAATACTATCAATGCGAAAGATATAATTTGAGAAATTAAACTTTGGTAAAATCCACCAATAAACCAATAAAGTAGTCTGTTATCTCTCTCATAACCACGATGGCCTAAAATGTATTGTCTCATCTGAAAATATTAAAATAGACGAAGTAGAAAAGTACAAGGGTCACGAAAACATTTGATCGAGTAGTAAGACGAGTGCCATGGCAAAGGCAGAATCAAAGCCTGGGTGCACAATTAACTGAAAAATCTCAATCCCAAAAGAGACGTTTTTGGTGTTAGCTTCCTTCCTCCTAATTTCAGCCACCACTCTTCTGCACTCATCCAACACCTTACACGTACGATGTGCGTAGGAACCCTCTATAGTAAACGCAGCACAACGCTTATCTGAAAGTGAGGCTCCGCGGTACACGTAGGCCTTAACGTTGGTGTTGCCATGTAAAATATTCACATGCTTCCGTACACAACAAATTGGACTCTCTAACTTACTTCTACGCTGGTTCCCCACTTCCCCTTCATACACAAACCAACTATCTAACAATCCAAGCTTCTGCAAAATAAAGAAGAAAAAGTATAATTAAACTATTACTTTTCGTTATATATAAAGAAATGAAAAGAAATAAGAGAAAGTGAAGGAGTGATAATTAAAATATGACATAAAGAATAATTAAGAGATACCCTGCGGCGGCACATGGTGAGAATAGATTTTCCTGAAGCATCCATGAGAGTGACTTCGTTGGGTCGACCTATATAATTGTCGACACGATACACAAGATTCCCATAAGAATCAATCACCGTGAACCCTTTGCAACTCATGACCAAGGATTTTCTCCAAACTGTTAGGGATGTGCACAAGCTTTTTACCTCATCATCATGCTCACGTTCTTGTTCCTCGTGCACTGCTCTTGACACGGATTTTAGCCTAGGAAACACCTTCATGATCTTATCTCTCTTCTTTCAAATCCACACTCTCTTACTTTCTACCTTGCTAGATTCTCTGCCTTAAGTTTGAACGTGGCCAAGGGACATATTTATAAGCAAATGATACTCGTGGAACCAATTGTACGACAAATAACATCTACAATATCTATCTCTTTTTTATCATTAATAAATAATGCATGAGATGGTGTTAAACAAAATTTGTACAATTTATTATAATCATTTTCCTATTATAAAAAAAATAATGATACAACATATTTGCTCTCTTTAAATTATTATTATTATTATTATTATTATTTTTTGTATAAACCTGGCTTAAGGCCGAGCTCAACCGAGTTCATTAGACAACTTTGACCGAGATGACCATTTAGTCAAATTAAAGTAAATATATGAAATGCTGAGGTGTGACATCGGAGAAGAAAGATTGGTAATACACCTCAGCATATCAATGACATTGAATATGACTCAACCGCCGATAACCCTCAAAAACTAACTAAACAACAGTTACACGGTTACTCAAGAACGGCCACAGGTAATAATATATGCAATACATGAGATATGAGAGATAACTAACTTGATCTTCAGGGTCCTTTTTGAAGGTACATCCGAGACGCTTGGGCAGGAAGACCGGAGAGAAGGAATTCACCCCAGTGACCGATCTCATCTGACCTTGACTGAATCGAACAAGGAAGACGACTTATCCGAGTTAGGGATCCAACCTGATTCGTGTAAGTACATTATTATTATTATTATTATTATTATTATTATTATTATTATTATTATTATTATTATTATTATTATTATTCGTGGTAACAAGGACGACGTTAAAAAGAAAATAAAAAATGGTTTTGTTGGTTTTCCTTTTCCAATTCTGCTGCTACCAACATGGGTGACAATATGACATGTAGACAATACCCACCCTTATAAGCATACAGACTCTTTCTGGGAGGAACACGTGTTATTGTATAGGTCCAGGATGTTGACATGTCATTTTAAAGCCAGACTATTATTAGTTCTTTCTTTTTGGGGCTTTATACTATTACTAACATTCTGTGACTTGTCTAACTTATCCGATATTTGTTATTAGTTCATTGAAGATGATCGGTATAGTTCACAAGGTTATACTATAGAATAAAATTAACAGATTTTATTTAATTTTTAAAAATTAATATTATGTGTGGCTGCATATATTTAAAAATAATGTAAAGTACAAAAACGTTAATCTTCTTGAAATGGGAATTAATGGCATCTTCATGCAGTTTGTTTATTTGGTAGTGTTATATATATGTATATCATTTATTGCTTAAAAAAAATAGTCCTTTTTAACGTGTGAGATTTCTTTAAAAAGCAGTCTTCTCTTTCGTTTTCATCAGCTACATGTGCGTATCTAGTATCAATATTTAGTTTTGCTAAGACGGATTGAAGAGATATTTCGAGATCGAAGAAGAAAAGTATTGACGTTGAAATTCTTCAAGTGGTGTTGGAAAGGTGACACGTGGCCCAATTATTCGTATTTCCTAGTTACGTGCATAGGTAGAAATTCTTTATTGAGAAAGAGAAGGAAATACGAACAAGAAGTAATAATCCACATTCTAGAGGGAGGACTGACTACTGAGGAGTAAATTCAATATATAATTTATATACTCAAATATATTTATCATGAATTTTAATTATATTATAATTTATATATAATATTCATTTATATAAAAAAAAGTATTTATAAATAATAATGAAAATACTATAATAATAATTATATTATAAATACAAACACTAATGTTTCTTATATTTTAAATAATTACACAAATTTAACAAATATATTAAATGCGGGTTAGTTTTATAACAATCGCCGAATAAAGAGGGAGAATAATGAAATGGGTAAAAACAGTTGAGAAAGTAGAAATGGGCTACCAGTACCAGCTGAGCCAATGGTGTAGTCTTTCAATTGGTCAAACAGCTGAAACTTGCATATGTGGTCATACGGTGTGTGCTGCAATTCAAATACTTAAGAGCATCGCACCAATAGGTTTGACCAAAAACAATGAGGGGACCTCATTGATAAATAATATTATGTTTAATTATACCTTTTAACTTTTGTTAGTTTTAGGTGTGTATGATTTTGATTTTTTTAAGTTTTTTTACACCAATTTTTTAAGTTAATTAAGCTAGCTTATTTATTTAAAAAAAAATAAACAAATTTAGTTTCACTAGGAACATTCATTTACTTTTTATTAAGGAACTTTCACTTACTTAATTAAAACCATATGTCTATTCTAATTTTGTCTTACATTAATTGAAAATCTTATACTATGTGTAAACTAAAGAAATTAATCATGGTATTAAACCAATAAAATTAATAATGACTATGGAAAAGAGAAGATTTTTGTGTCTTTCTATATTTTCTTTAAAATAAAACATGAAAAAAGAGATAGAAAGAGGAAGTTAAATAATAAAAAAAAATGTAATTGAAAAATAAACTTTTGGGTTAATTATGTTATGACACGCGTCACGGGGAGAGGTAAAGATACGTTTAAAGGGGAGTCAAATAAAAATAATAATAAAAAATACCATTTTCTTATTGACATATTATAGATATACACCAAATTAAAATGGAACAATTGCTAAGTTTTTTGATTAAATTAATCAACCGGTTTTTATTTATTTATTTAATAGTTGAAGTGGAATAGCTGTGATGAGATTGTATATATCTTCTTGTAGTGGGAAGCAGATAAAAAGATGGTATAAGATTTCCTTGACATTGGAAGCCAGTAGCATGGAAGCTAAGGGTGGTGGCCAACATGAGTATCCATGGTAATAAAATATATAATGTAAGAAGTAAGAAATATAGAATAATAGTTTGTTGTTGTGATTAAATATAGAGAAGAAGTGATGTGATGGGGATAGGAAATCTAATGTTCTGTAGCACACATCATGAACAGCCATGCCATGTGTGGACTTGTCTTGTGGAAGGTTTCTTCAAACACGTCTTTCCTCTTTTAATTTGTGGTTAAATAGAACAAGAGCCAAAGCTTTCCAACCGACCCGTGCCGCATTTGGTTACGCTTGCTTTCTATTAATTTGGTGCATTACACTTTTATGCCTAGTCTCTCTACTCTACCCCAAAAGGATTAGATACTTCCAGATTTCACTCTACCAAATCAAATATCTATTACTTCTCTATCACTGCACATGCATACCTTCGCAAAATCATCCCTCCTGCGATCTCAATTTCCTGATTTAGCTTGTTTTTGGAAAACATATATAGCCTTAAAACGTGGAAGCATCAACTACTTGAAAAAACATCACATCCAATGTGTTTTTGGATGCCCTTAATTTTCATTATTCGTCCAAAATAAATGAAGATTATGAATAAAATAAATGTGGCTGGAAGAGACATATAACAAAAATGACATTTTTGTATTGAAGATTAAATGTTATTTATGTCGATACTAAAACTAAATCGACCAAAACAAATGTTGAAAACTTATTTATTTACTGCTGTATGGTTTTTCATTATTAAATAATTATAAACGTACATTATTTTCTTTTTTATATTTGATTTCATTTTTTAATCATTTACTTATTATATTTTCTCCTTTTTTATTTTCTTTCTATATCTCATCTTCCATGCCACTCCACTTCACAAGTCCATTCCAAAATAATATGCACTTTATGCCCACAAATAAGGATCCAAAAACAGTATAACATATGCTAGGGTTGTCAGATACGAAATCAGGAAAAAGACATTCAACATATGACCCAACAGTCAAAACAATACTCGTACATATAAGTATTAGCTGGAGATTGGTAAGATTCTTTAGTGCTCGTTTGATAAATACGCATGATTAATTTTTAATTACATTTCACACCTTCTAATATAAAAAATATAAACTATAAACAAGATTAATTCTAACATAATTTTCAATAACATTTACAGTTTGGTTTCTATGTAATATTCATCAGTGAAAAATATTTTATCCAATTAACAAATAACTAGAAAACCATCATTAATCTAATTTTTTAAAATAAATGTTATAAAATTTAATAAATTACTCTTACATCTGAATATGATATCATTATGCAGGACGCGTGGCCTATTACTACATGCAACGATAGTAATTATAGTGGGTCCTGTTTAGATATCAATCGCTGTCAATTTTGGAAAAAGTTAAACCCGATTTGTTGTAATAGTAAAAGTCCACCACGTGCAAGGATTAAGGACTACGTTAATATTTGGACGAAATTCTCAATAAACATTTTTTTAAAAAAAATTATAAGTTGGAATTAGTTTCTAAACTTAAAAATATATTTTAAAGAAACTAATATAAAACAGTTTCTACATATTAAAAGAAATGGTTCATTATTTTAAGCGACGTACAAATTTTGCATATTGAGAATATTTACTTTTATAGATATATTAATAAACGTTTTAGAAGAATAAATAAAATACAATATATTAAGTTTTACTAATTTGTTATGAGAAGGATTAAATGACTTTATGAGTAATTTTGATTCACTTAATAATTCAAGATATATATTGAATTTTAATAATTCAATCATTAAGTTATAAGTTATTGATATATAAATTAAACATATAAATTTTAAAAAAATTAAAAATATTTAGTACTTCAATTTATTAATTTAAATTGACGAATAATTATAAAAATATTTTATATATTAATTTAAATTTATATAATAAAATATCATATAATTTTTTTAAAAAAATTTATAGACTTGACTTATATATTAAAAAAAATTAATTTAATTATTAAAATTTAACATATATCATAAATTATTAAGTGAAATAATTTTGTCAAAAATTACACTGATTTGCTATTTATGTATTATATATTTGCTGAGTTCTTTCCCCTCAAAATAAAAATTTGCTGAGTTCTTTCAATAAAAATTAATGGACTACAAACTGTTCCATTTATTGCAGCACATACAAAGGGTTATAATATTTAAAGTTATAAATTTTCTGTCAACATTCAACTAAATTTCCTTTCCATTTTCACAAAAAGGTTATTCTATTTAACGGTTCCTTTATTTTCTCCAATCTTCCCTTTGATACAGCTACGCCAATACAACAGTCCAACACTAC